TGCACATATGAATAATAAAAGAAAAATGAAAAAAAAAAAAAAAGAGTTTTTCAAGATAGGTTCTCATGAACTATTTGCCTGGGCTGGCTTCAAACCGTGATCCTCCTGATCTCTGCCTTCTGAGTAGCTGGGATTATAGGCGTGAGCCACCAGTGCTGGCTGTCTGAAAATCCGTATGGATTATTTTACATATATAATTACACCATTTGTAAATAATGACAGTTTTGTTTTTCCTGTCCAACTGTTACACCTTTTATCTCCTTTCTGTCACCTTAACTCACGAGCTGGGACTTTGGAGACAGTATTAAGCAGAAATGCTGATGGCCTGTCTCGTGGTACTTTGTCATTAAGCATCATGTGTTCATAAGGTTTGGTTGTTTTGTTTGCTTTTTTAGTTTTTGTCTTTTCAAATCGTGGAGTTTCCTGCTATTCCTAGCTTCCTAAGAGTTGTGTTTTTAATTACGAGTGGATCTTGAATTTTATCAAATGCTTTCTGCATCTTTTGAGTTGATTATATGCTTTTTCCTTATTCTGTTGATGTGGTGAATTACGTTGAGTGATTTTCAAATGTTAAACCAACCTTGCATAACTGGATTAAACCACACTGATCGTCTGTGTTTACAGGGAGCGCCAGGCTCAGCTGCTGGTGGGTCGCGGGCATTTGTCTCACGGGATCCATCAGCCTTCATGTTCCATTCTTGAAATACCCTCGTCAGCTTGGATATCAAGCTTATGCCACCTCATAAAAATTCCCTGAGAAGATTTGTATAAAATCGTTATTATTTCTTCTTTAAATATTTGCAAGAAGTTCCTAGTGAAGTCATCCAGCCTGGGTTTTCTTTGTGGGAAGAGCATTAAAATTCCAGGCTTAATCTAGTTAACATTGGACAATTTGCGTTCTTGTTTCTTCTGTGTCTTCTTTTACATATTCTGTCTTATGAAGAATTGCTCTATTCCATCTAAATTGTTTTTATTTGTGTTATCCTCTGAATAGATTTTTTTAAATGTGTCTAGACCCACAGTGAGACTCAGTTTTTAATTCCTGACATTGGTAATTTGTGACCACCTCATCCCACCCGATCATCCTTGCTAAAAACTTATCAATTTTATTAGTCTCTCTGGAAAACTAAATGTTGCATTTCCTTAATGTGATGTTCGTTTTTCATTTCATCCACTTACCCATTTATCTTTATTATCTCTTTCCTTCTACTTCCTTTGGGGTGAAATTTGCTTTTTTTGTTTTGTAACTTTTGAAATGGCGTCAGCTTCTCCAATTCTTCAGTAAATGGCAGTGAAGGGCAGCCTGGCTTTGAAGTCCTGGTCCTCCAACCTCAGCCCTACCCCACTTCACCCCCAAGGACTAGTATTACAGGTATGCACTGCCATACCTGGCTTAGCTGCAACTTTTAATATATTACACTTTTATTATTATTCAATTAAAACTATTTTCTGAGGCATATCAGATTTTTTTCTTTGACCCTTTGGTTATTTAGATTGTTGAGTTCCAAAACACTTGTGGATTTCACAGTTTATATGTGTGTATGTTAACACCTGTGTGGTCAGAGACACATGGTCTCATTTCTCTGAAATGTGTTGGAACTGAACTTGCTTTTAAGGCCTTGTCTTGGACCCCTTGTTAGAGGCTCCATGTGGACCTGGAGGGTTCGAATCCCACGGCCTGCACTGTGGGGCAGTGTTCTGTCCCCGTCTGTCAGGTCAGATTGCCACTCACAGTGTTCACGTTCAACTCTCTGCTGATGCCTTGGCTGTGTCTCTACCCCGTCCTGATGAGGTTCATTCAAATCTCCCACCATGGTGGTTGTGAGGTTTTTTTTCTGGGATTAAACTCAGGGCCTTCTCTATTCGCTACTTGAGTCACACTCTCAGTCCCTTTTAGTTTGTTTTAGATAAGATCTCCAGTTTTTGCCCAGAGCCAGCCTCAGACCAAAATCTCCCTGCCTTTGCCTCCTGAGTAACTGGGATCACAGGCATGAGCCACCACGCCAGGCTTGTTTTTTGAGATAAAGTCTCACCAACTTTTTCCCTTGAACCATGCATGACCGTCCTAACTCTGCCTCCCAAGTAGCTGGGACTCAGATTTTCTTTTAGCTTTTTGTTCTACCAGTTTGCTTTACATGTTTTAAGGTTGTTTTTGTAGGTGCATACAAATTTAGAATTGATGTCTTCCTGCTGAACTGACGTTTTTATAATTATACAAATCCTTTTTTCTCTAGCGATACTTAAAGCCTACTTTGTTTGACATTAGTTTTCCCTTACTAGTTTCCATCTGGCTACTCTGTGACATGCATTTTTCTAGCCGTTTATTATCAATCTCTGTGTATTTTATATTTTAAAGAAGATTTCTGGATTGGAATATCAATTGTCTGTCTAATCTTACATTTCTTTTTCATTTGTTTCATCCCTTCCCTTTTTTTGTGGTACTGGAGTTTGAACTCAGGGCCTGCACCTTGAGCCACTCCACCAACCCTTTTTTGTGATGGGTTTTCCTCAAGATAGGGTCTCTTAAACTATTTGTCCAGACTGGCTTCAAACCACAATCCTCCTGATCTCTGCCTCCTGAGTAGCTAGGATTACAGGCGTGAGCCACCAGTGCCCAGCATTCAGCCCTTCCTTTAATTCAATTTTCTCTCCATGCTACAAGCTGACCTTTTGTTTTGTTTTTTTGGCAGCACTGGGGTTTGAACTCAGGGCCTCACGCTTGCTAAGCAGGCACTCTACCCCTTGAGCTGTTCCTCCAGCCTTTTACGAATGATTTTGTATTGGATTGTCATCACTGTCAAATCCACCTTTTACATTCTTAATTCCTGTTGCTGCCCTTTCTGGCCTAGAATTTTTATTTTGCAATTCGTAGATATCTTTTATATCTCTGGGGGGAAATTCCTCATCTTTTCATCTATATCTTGAAGCTATTTATCATGCTTATTTTAATGTCATGTAAAAACTCTGATGCAAACCACAACCATTTACTTGCTCACGAGTTGATGGGTCAGCATGTTGGGCTCCCTAGGGCTGGCCGTGCAGAGTACTCATATGGTGGCCTGGTCAGCCTTGCCTCTGGGGCTTTTGGCTCCACCCCGCTCCTCAGCTCTCCTTCCTGGCCTTTCCAGCAAGCTAGCACAGGCTTGTCCACGAGGCAGCAAAAGTGAAACCCCTCAAGGTTTCTCAAAACCAAAGCTCAGAACAAATGGCCCACTTCCACCATGGTGGACATAAACTCAGATCCTCAAAGAAGGAGCTACAAAGGATTTGCACCTGTCTTTATCCCACCACAGTCTGTCCTCCTCCCAATTATGAGGTTTTCCTGCCCCCCCTTCCTCCAGACACCTACAAGGTTCATCCAGTTACAGATGGAGTCATACTCCAATCCCATCACCTTCTGATCTTCATCTTCCTCCTGTCCCCAAATCAATGCCATGTGTTGTAGGAGATTGACATCTCAGTGCCCTGCTTCTGGGTCCTGATTTCTTTATCAGTTATCTGTTGCTGCATAGAAAACCATGACGAAATTTAGTGGTTTGCACAATTATTTTCTTTGCTCGCAACTCTGCAGGTCAGGAGTCTGAACTTGGTTTTGCTGGGAAGTGGATCTGTTGACCTTGCTTGGGGCAACTCAAGCACCTCCAGTCATCTAGTGACCTGCTCAGGGCTGGCTGCTCTAAGCAGCTTCGCTCACATGCCTGCGGTCTGGCACTGGCCGTGGACGGGTACCTCAGCTCTGTTCCATGTGGCCTCTGCAGCCAGAGAGCTCAGACTTGTCCACACCGCCATGCTCACACCCTGGTGAGCTCCCCAGCATTCTCCCAGTCACAGTGTCACAAGATCAGCCCAAACTCAAGCAGTAGGAAAACAAGTCTATCTCTGATGGGTGGGGTTACAGGCGTTTAAGACTACTGAATGTGCTGCACCCTTAGATCTGTATCTAAGGCCTGACTTTTCCCTTGGTTTTTAGTCTTTTGTGTATGAAAAAAACATAGAGGATGGTGGTATTGTTTCTCTGCAGATAACTGGAGGGCTTGAGAGAACACGAGGTTACCAGGGTCTCAGCAGAAACCTTGGGGTGTTTACTGGCGCCCTGTCTTAGGTAGACCTGAATCCCCAGAAACGGGAGCCTGAGGCTTCTCTGCATCCCTTTCCCCCTCCTTGTGTGCAGCTGCATGAAGGGGGCACACTGCTTTGTGCTCCTTATTCACCAGGATCTTGTCCCCTAGTGTCCTGGTGTCTTTGTGGCTTGGACACCACTGTTTTCCTCACAGCCCAGTGCACCTCGCCTTCCCATGCCCAGTGCTCTGGAGGGCTCATCTCCACTTCTTGCCTCCTGTGCTTTGGGCTGTTCAGGTCTTTCTTCTCCAAAGCCTCCCACAGGCCAAGAGCCATCATGGTGGCCCTGTCCTGTCTGCATGTTATGGAGTTTCTGGCAGGAGGGCTGGTCAGTTGCAGGCTTGGTGGCAGAAGGAAAGCCCAAGGCTTCCCCACTGCCCTGTTCTCTGCCAGTCTCTTTGCTGTGTGCACAGAGAGCCAGTCCCTGGCTTCCTTTCTCAATGCTGCTGCTGAAAGGACCTTCATTTTTACAAGGAGCTTTGGAGGCAAACTAGTGCAATGCCCTGGACAGTCAGGGCATTTGCTAATTTGGCCTGCTGCCCCTCTCCTCTCTAGCTGGTGGGGGTCCATGGTAAAAGATGTTATCCACAACAGCTCTTGCAAACTGAGGGCCCTGATTCTTGTCCCCCTTCTGAGGTACAGACAGGGAAGTGGACCCTCTTTCTAGCAGAGGGCGAGATGAACCCTTTCACCTTTGAATGCTCTTTGTCCCTGGTCTCCCTGGTGCCTCCACCAGGATGGGTGTTAAAGGTCTCTGAGCCATGCGTTTGAAGATCTTGTCCACAGGCTGCAAGAATACTGGAATCTCTGACATGCAGGACGGGGTGGGGGGTGGCCCTGCAGGGGCAGCCACTCAGCTTCCTTTCCGTTCTCTACCACAGGCTGCGGGAGCACCATCGGGCCACCATCAAGGTCATCCGGCGTATGCAGTACTTTGTAGCCAAGAAGAAATTCCAGGTGAGTCCTATGCTAAACCTGCCTGCACTTGACCTCCCCTGTGTGGCTCCGGGCTGCCTGCTGTGGAGGCCATAGAGATGTCCACTCGCCAGCTGCACAGCTGGACCCATTCAGGACCTCAGCTCTCATCTTACACACCCTATGGCAACTTCACGGTGGCCCCTGGGAAGTCCTCCCTCCCTGAGACAACAGACTCCTTGAGAGATGAGTCTCCTGAGGCCCAGCCCAGGAGCCCATCCTCTTCACTAACCTCCTGGGCTCATGCTACCCTCCCATGGGTCATGCAAGGTTGCATTAGTGAGGGACAGGGGGCCAAAGTCAAAGTGACCCAGAGACCGCAATGCCTACCCAAGCCACCGGAGCAGGAAGTGAGACTCCCCATGATCCCAGACCCCTGTCCTCAACCAGCTAAGTGCTCTTCCTTCTGTTCCCTACCTGCACCAGTATGAGTCAGGAAAGGGGAGGGTGAGCTGGTCCTTCCCAGTGGAGGGTCTCCTGAGCTAGCAGCTGTGGGCCCTATTTGCCATCTGCCCCCCACTTCCTCATGGGTGTCCTGAGCCCCAGAGTCCCAGACCCCCAGAAAGTGCCATTTGGTGGCAGGCTGGGTTTCCCCTCTGCTGTGGGACAGTCCTGGAATGGAGACCTTGGGGACAGTGAAAGCTTGGTCTTCACTTTGAGAACTTGTATGTAGACATAGCAAGTAGGAAGGTCGTTCTCTTTCCATAGTGTCCTCCCTGAGGACGATTGGGGATGACCTATTTGAGTCCCTCAGAGTAGTCACACAGGTGGCCCTGCGTCCAGGCCACATCTCTGTGCCTCCACACCAAGCTGCAGGATTGACACAGACTTCCTATACCCTTGACAGAGCCCCAGCCCTGGGTAATGGAGCAGCCATGGCAGCAACCTCCAGACTCTACACAGGGATTACCTCAGGTATCCCTGGGCGAGTCCACCTCCATATGTCCTGAGAACAACAGGCTATGGGGTTGGCACCAGACATGTACATGGGGCCCTACCCAAGGCATCCCTGTCAGTACATGCATGACCGTCGCTGTTCTAAGCCCCAAGAGCAGTCCCTGGACTAGCCACCCCACCCCCTGTCTACCATGCTCCTCCTGTAGAGCCTGAGTCTTCCCATTGTCTAGACAAATAAAGACCACTCTCAGCCAGCCAGCACCATGAGGTCTGCCCAGCAATATTCTGGGGGCAATCTGATGGCTCGATGGATGGGGGCATTTGGTGCTCTGTTGATCCCTTTCCCAGTGCCCTGGCTGTGGGATAGGAGCTGATGTGGGGAGCAGGGAGATGGGGCACAGAGAGAGGAGACATCTCCTGGCAGCACCAGCACCCCCGAGGTAGGCAGGGAGCTGTGGAACCCCCTTGGGGGATCAAGAGATACCAGCAGGACAGTTCCCCAAGGGCAAAGGAAGGGTCACAGTGTATCACCCTTACTGGGGAGTAGCTTCATCAGTGAAGATCACTGATGTCAACCTGGTGAGGCAGACGGTCACAAGGAAACTGCCAGGGTGGTGACAGTTCCCAGCCTGAAAATCAGACCCCCGTGAGTGTAAGACAGGCTCCTGTGTGGCACAGCCCAAGATCCAGCAGGCCTTGTGGGACTATGCTGGGTGGACGCTGGACAACCTGGCATCCAGTTCTGGGCACCAAGCAGAGTGTAGGGACCCTCCTGGGATCCTTACGTTATGGCCAAGTTCATCTCAACAGCCCATGCAGATCATGTCACTTTGGCACAGACACTGTGTGAAGGCCTTTACTTCCTTCCAGGTCACAGTCCCTTTTTCTTTCCCCAGACACAGGCCACAGTCCTAGAATGGCCCAGGAAGCTTCCAGAATAGGCCAGGCAGCCCCTACTTCCCCACCCTCTATTTCTCCTCTGTGCCCTAGATCCTGGGGAGCTTTTAATAAACTGGGCAGCAGAGGGGCCTTTTGGGGTAAAGGCTCCTGAGCAAGAATGGGGGCTGGCCTCCCCTATGATCTTGGCTTTCAGGTCTGAGGAGCAGAAAGCCTCCAGGGAAGAGGAGTGGGAGGGGTGAGGAGGAAGGCTCCAGGGCTCCAGGGCCAGCCAGCTACCCCAGTTTTCAGGATGTGTTGCTTCCTTCATCTGCCTACCTGCTCTCCGCCCATCCCCATTGGCCTTGCTGCAGGCGTGGTGACTAGCCCTCCCCCACTGGCCGATAAGCCCCTGACCAGCGCCTTTGTGTCTGGCCCCTGGAGCCAGAGCCTCTAAGCCCTTCAAGTTTGCCTTGAATGTCCGTGTTCACTGTTGGTCAGTCTGTGTTATCTTGGCTCATCCCTGGCTCCTGCTACAGTCAGGCACATTGACTCTGGAGAGAAAGCTTAGATGGTCTTTCCAGCCAGGCCCCAGGCAGCCACTTGAGAGAGGCCACAGGAGCCTGACCAGATCCTGGCGGGTTGCTCAGCGGCTCCAAGATAAGTCTCAGCAGGCCTGGATTCCGCTGAGCCATGGGGTGTTGGCCAGGCATCTCAGACCCTTCTTGGGCTGTGGCCTGCTCACATTCCCCAACCCTGCTCCTACAGGGAACAGCACCCTTCATTACACGTGTGTTTGTAGAGACTCCTAACACACACCCACATGAACCTGGGTGCAGTGGCCCAGGGTTCCCAAGGCCAGGCCCGAACCACCTCAAACCCTGGACCTGGCTCGTTCTTCTACTTCCTCCCCGCTTACCCCACACCTCACCCTATGTTCCTGGAGGTGCCATACACCTCACAGAGCCCTTTGGCCCACAAGAGGTTGACCACTGTGTCTCAGGGCCACCTTCACTGTTTGCTAAGGAGAGGCTTAGGCCCTGGGCTCAGCCACAGCCACCTCTGGCTCTGGCAAAGAACCGGCTCAGGGTTCCCTGTCCTTTCTCACCTACCATCTTTTCCTATTCTCACTTGCTCCTTGTCAGGAAGAGTAAGGTTGAGCTCAATATCCCACCTTCCAGAAAAGAGGAATAAGACTCAGCATCCCATCTTACAGAAGTGAGGAATAAGACTCAGTATCCCATCTTCAGAAGGGAGGAACAAGACTCAGTATCCTATCTTACAGAAAGGAGAAAGTAAGGCTCAGTATCTCATCTTACAGAAGGGAGGATCGGGGCTTAGCATCCCATCTTACAGAAGGAAGGGGTAGGGTTTAGCATCTCCATTTTGCAGGAGAAAGTAAGACCTGACAACATTACACTAGCCTATACCTTATTGCAGTTTTTGTGACTGTCACTAAGCTGAGAACGTACAAGACGAGGAGTCTGCCTTGAGTCCCATCCTGTACCTGGCCCTTGAAGAGTCATGGCATATCGGCCAGGGACAATGCAGAATACAGAGTGGCAGGTCCTTCTTTCATCAAGGTTCAGCTGCATTGTATGAAGGGGACCCCCCCAGCCCTCCCAACCTCAGGTCTCTGTCCTTAGAGGGTCCTTAGGGCCCTCATGGGGCTGTTGCCAGCAAGGGCCCTGCCTGCCCATATTATGCCAGGGATCAGAACCCCTGGACTTCTGGGACCAAGAGTTGGTGGAGAGGAGACCTCTGCCCTGTCTTGGGATTTCTGGGGTCCACCACAATGTTGGAGTTGTCAGCATTCTGCCAAGCCTCCAGCGTCGGTGGCGGAAGCCCTGGGCATGTCAGAAGTATGCCCAGAGCTGCAGGTGGGAATGCAAAGCCCTAAGACTCTGGGCTCAAAGGCTCCCATCTTTCTAAGTGGGCAACGAGTGCATGCCCTGAGATGCCACCCGATCTTGGCAAGCATCAGAACTTCATCCCTCTCAAGCTCTGCCTCAGTTGCCCTCTCTAACCTGGGTTGGCCAGAGAGGGTAGTAGCCTTGGGTTGTCACCAGTGGGGCCCTGAGTGCTGAAGAGACCGTCCGGGGCCCTGCCTGCTCTGCCTGCAGCCTCCTACCCCCGCCCCGCCCCATGTTCTCTGGCAGCTCTGGGCACCACACCTCCTCAGCCTGGCTGCTGCCCCAGGGCAAACCCCCGCCCCAGGGCAAACCCCCACCCCAGGCCCTTCAAACAAGCCTATGAATGATGCTGGAGTTCTGCTGACTTCTGAGAAGCTTCACTTTCTCTGTTGTGCTTCCTACTGATGTCACCTGAGCTGCATTTATAGGCTCGGAGCCGGGACCAAGTCTGGGGACTCTGGGGTCACCTGCCCTGTTCCTTATGGGCCCAGGCCCGCTATGAGAGCTCACGCAGATGCCTGGCACACACAGTGTTGGCCAACTCTGCATGGCATTGGGAACTGTGAGCCACCTCCCCACTCTGAGAGCCATGGGGACTGTGGGTGGCTGGTGCATCAAGGTCAGTTTGCAGACAGTGGTTAGGCAAAACTATGCTCCCTGCCATCTGGGCCAGCTCTCCGCAAGGCTCTTTGGGCGCCAGGGGTCTGGTGGCCCAAGAAGGAGAGCTTGCCAGTCCTGCTGGCAAGTGGACAGGAAGCTGAGGCCCTGACAGGCTGAGCCCATGTGGCCAAGTCTACTGCACACACTGTAAGTCGGGCCCTCCCATCACTGTCCCTGTCAATGCCTGCATTTAGAACCGAGCCCAGAGGACGCGGGGAGTGACGGTGCCTTTCTCGTTCACAGCAAGCGCGGAAGCCATACGATGTGCGAGACGTCATCGAGCAGTACTCGCAGGGTCATCTCAACCTCATGGTGCGCATCAAAGAGCTGCAAAGAAGGTGGGCGCAGGCCGGGGCCCCGCGGGCTGCGCCTCGCTCCTGACAGCCCCGCACCAGCAGTGGACACTGTCTGTCCCAGCCTGGGCTGGGCCCAAGGAGGGAAGTTGGAGTTCTCCCCAAGATCTGCCCCAGGACACCCCCCATTCACTGGTCTGACCACCTATGGGTCTTCCCACTACTGTCCCAGAGCTAGGACCCTAACCAGTGGGACCTCTGAACCCAGCAGAGACTTAGATCAGCTCTATTTCCATGGTGGGCTTGCCTGGGAACCTAGCTGGGTGTGTTACAGGGTACAGCTAGGAGAATATGCCTGTGAGGTCAGAGGTTCAGGGCCTCCCTTATTACTGACCCTACTTCACGCCCTGCCTTCTCAGGAACATGGGCCTCTGGGAGCTCGGAGACTCTCAGCAGGTCTTGGGATAGCAGAGGTGGTCACCCTTAGAGTGGGTAGGTGGTACACTGGCTTGCTGAGTACGTGGGCCTGTCTACCTCACCCATGGGCTGGTCGTCCATGTGATGCCTGGGCTGAGTGTGAGCTGGTTTCTCTCTCTTCCCTCCCAGGCTGGACCAGTCCATTGGAAAGCCCTCGCTGTTCATCCCCATCTCAGGTGGGTTTCTACACTGGCACCTGGGTGTGGCAGCTCAGCCCTCCTCTTACACCCCTCATCCACCCCTTCTCAATATTAGAGTGGTCACCAGGGCCTCTGGAGTGCTTGACATGAAATGAAAGCTGGATGAGGCAAAGAGATAGACCTCACTCTAAGCCAAGTAACCTGGAACACTTTATAAAAGAGTGTTCAGTTTGTGTGAGACCCTACCAAGTCACTTTAAATGACAAATTGCTAGGGTGTTGATATAAGGCTCTGGGCATGGAAATGTGAGCCAAGGCACATTTCAGAGGGGGGTCCTGGTGATGCAAGGGTCTAGAGTGGGGTGAGCAGCCTGCCCAGAGCCTCAGGGCCATGGGTGGAGGACGCACCTGGCTCAGCTTTGCAGGAGTATGCAGTGATGACAGTTCTTAGCCTGCATAGACTCCTTGGGTCCTCTGGACGTGTGAAGGCACACCAGGGAAACCCAGACCAAGGCCCATTCCTTGGAGAGGCCCTAGCCCAGTTCCAAACAGGACCTTATGACATAGACCAGTGTGGTGGCGCCACTGGGGCATCAGGCATTCCCTGGCCAGGAGCTGGGCCCCATGGCTCAGCAGAGTGGGTACCATGCACCAGCTAAGGCACAGCCCCTGTGCAGGGTGAGCTCTGCCCTCCCTGGCAGACTCTCAGAGATTACAGAACTGGGAGGAGCATGAGATGCAGCCCAGGTCCACAATGCCACAGTGCCACCTGTCCCTCCCCCACACTGCCCGTGGTATTCTGCCATGCCCTCATAGGTTCAGGACTTTTGACCCTCAGCTACCTGCCCCTTGCACGCCCTGTTCCCCAAGCCCAACTGGAACCCCCCTGTCCCTTACCGCCTCAGCACACATCCCTGACCTTGCTGCTTCACCCCATAGAAAAGAGCAAGGACCGTGGAAGCAACACAGTCGGTGCCCGCCTGAGCAGGGTAGAAGACAAGGTAGGCTCAAGCGTCCTGCCTTTCAGCTCTGGTGGTCAGCAAAGCATTGATCCTGGTGGTCACCATCCTCAGAGCCAGCCCAGTGGCCCCCCCAGAGCAGCTCCTCACTGCCCTGCTCTGTCTTGAGTGTGCTGCCAAGATGTGGATGGGGGAGTAGAGTGTACATTCCTTTCATCCCACCATGCCCACTGGGCCCACACTGTACCTCCCCGAGTCGGGGCTCTGCTCCACCCTCCACCTAGGTGGGCCTCAGCCCCCCCAGAGAACGAGGCTGGGCATTGGCCTCCCAGGGAAGAAGGCTGGGTCACTCCTCTGATGAGTAACACTTTTACTGGCAAGTGCCACGAAGTGCCACCACTGTCTGTGGTGGGTGGGCAGTGTAGTTTATTAATTCACAAGGCTCCCTTAGCCCCCAGCCTTTCTGTGCTCGGAAAACCAGAAACCTTCCTACCTGCTGGCTGCTTCCACCTGGCATCTCTAGCCTGGAGATGGATTTGATCTGAAAGTAACTAAAAGGCTAAAAATAGTGGAATTTTGGTTGAGCAGGGAATATGGCTGTGCTCAGTTGCGTTGGCAATGACTATGACCCTACTTCTGCCCTGAGCAGGTACACTGGGGCCTTCACTGTGACCTGGCTGTTTCCCTCTGCCTGCTATGGTCTGCTTTGTGCTCCAAGAGACTCCTGGGTAGAGGGGAGGCAGTCATTGCTTTCTCATCTGACCTCCCTGGGGCCCAGCTATCTGGGGTCTGTAATCTGGGCAGGCTGAAGCCTCAGGAGACTCGGGACCTGGCTGGGGTGGGTAAATGGGCATGCGTGTCCTCTGCCTGTCCTGGACCTGACTGTGCTAGGGAGGGATCAGCTCAGGATGGAATGGTGGGCTTTCCTGGCCCTGCCCAACCAAGCCACCTTCAGCCTCCACCCTAGGCTCCTAACTAGGTTGGGAGGTGTCCAGGTGGGTGCAGGCCTGGGGCAGCTCCTCTGTGCTCAGGAGTAGTGCCATGGCCCATGCAAACTGACCCCTGTACCCACTGCACCCAGCCTCTTAGCCTAGAGCCTCTCCCCAGCCTGTCTGGGAGCCATGGGAGGTTCTGGATTGCAGGTGGGCCTTTCTCGGACCCACAGTCCAGCCCACTGCCACCCTTTGAAGTCTCTGTGGTTTGAGATGGGCTGTTATCTTTCTGATCAGCTCGTCCACCTACGTGAATTTTATCTGAAAGTAGCTGAAAGGCAAAAATAATGGAATTTCAGTTGAGCAGGGAATGTAGCTGTGCTCATTTGGCCCAGCAATCCCTGGCTCTGGCCCTCTTCCAATTTGGGCAGGTGAACAGGACACAGCCAGACCTGTACAGGACAAACAGCTTTCCACTCCTAAACCCATCCCAGGCACTGGGATGTGAAACCTACCCCCATCCCCACTGGTATAAGCTGCCCTGGTCTGGTGTGGCTGTGGGGCCCCCAAAATCAATAAATGAAATTAGGCAGAAAGAAACAGAGCTGGGCTCCAGGTGCCCACAGGAGCCTCGCTTGGGGCCTGGTCTACTGCGCTGCCTGTTCCAGTACCCAAGCCCCACTGGTGAGCCTGGCCACCCTAAAATAGCCCAGGTCTGAGTGGGGTGGAACCACAGGTTTTGCTGGTAGATAGCCCAGTGGGAGTACATCTAGCAGAATGAGAACTCAGACCCTGACGGTTGACTCTAAGGGCCAGGCTGCATGGCACAGTAGCCCTGGTCATCTTGCTGTCTGTGAGAGGCGCATGTCCTTGACTTTCCCTCTTTTTGTATACAGGACCATGCTGGCACCCCATTCAGCAGGGTCCACACCCATGTTAAGGGGAGGGCTAGGCATGTCTAGACATCAGAGGAAGCTGTGAAGGAGCAGAGAGTCCACCACTCAACCTCCTTGCCCAACCCCTAGACCTCCCTGGTCAAAGCCCAGACCAGGAGCATGGTGTCCCCTAAGGGTGACAGTGGGCGGAAGGCAAAGTCTCCTGAAAAGCCCCTTCCCAGGGTTGAGACACGGCCATCCAGTGGTGTACTGGGGTCTGAGAATGAGGACATAGCCCTGAGTTGACCAAGGTCACTGTGGTGGACTGAGGTGGGGCCAGTGCTGGCCTTGGGGTGCAGAGTTACGTGCCCATGTTTCATCAGATCTGAACAACAAAAGGCCGTGTTTTCCGGAGTCCCTGATCCCTGGGGGCAAGGTTTAGGAACAAAGCCTAGCCGAGTCACAGGGCCCCTGGCGGTCTCGTCCCTGCTGGGCTCTGAGCCAGGGTTGTGAGGATGCTGGGGGATTGTGCAGCAGGGCAAATTGCATCTTTCTGTGCTGTTGTCACCCCTGTCCACCGCCACAAGCTGGATAAGTTCTAGGGGTGAGTCCCCTGCCTGGGGCAGTGTTCCACGCCGAACTTTAGCCTTTCCCAGGGGTCTGACCTGGACCTGAGCTACCCATCAAGGGCCCGACAGAGATGTGCTGACCCAGGCAGATGTAGCCACGGCCCAGCATCGGTTCCTCTGATGGCAGCCTGCCTGGCCCCTCTCCTGCCAGTGACTGCTACCCCCTATGGGGACAGACCCTGGGAAAGGGCTTTGCTGGGTCCAGAGGGCACAGGGGCCTGACCCGGGTCTCACATTATCACTTCAGCCATCAGGACCATGAACAACCCAAGCACGATCCTGCTGACCTCAGGAAGTGGGAGACAGGAAATCCCTGGGAGCCAGGCCCACGGCAGAACCAGTGCCAGCCAGCCTGGCCAACCCAGCCAGAGCCCCTGCTCCTGCCCCACCGCCACCCTCCCCTCACACCCACTCCCAGGCCAGTTGTGGCTGCAGGACAAGAGGAAGTCAAGGCTCCAGCCTGTAACTGTTCAACCTATCTCCTCAACTGTGAAGCGGGTCCACCCTGGGCCAGCCCACTGAGCCACAGGATGGGTCCTGAGAGGTGGGGAAGGGGCCTTTGGGACTCACAGCCATTTGGCCCCATTCTCAGGAAGGGATCATACTAAGGGTAAGGGAGCCTGGAATAAACACTCCTAAGGAGCTTCTAGTCTTGTTCAGAGGTGCCTGTTTCCCAGGCAGGGACCCCACACTGAGAAGCACCAGAACCCTCTTCCTGCAGATGTCCTAGGAACTCATTTGTGGCAATGGAGCCCCCCACCAATGACACCCCCTGTCATTGCACCTGCACCTGTCCTGCTGTTAAGGCTTGGCCTCCCATTCCCACCCTATGTACCACCAGACTCTGCTCTGCTCCCGGTGGCCGCCTCCCATTGTCGTCAAATGAGAGGGTTGGAGCGTCTGGTGTGCTGGTGCATAGAATAAAAAGCTGCCTAATACTCTTTCAGCCTTGCCTTCCATTGCTGGCCTCTTTGTTCTGGAAAGGACTCTTATTTGCCCAAGTAAATCCTCTGTTACAGGTGGAGAAACTGAGTCCTGGAGTGGTTGAGCAGTGTCCCGAGTCCACACAACTAGTTAGGTGAAGACCTGGTCCCTAAGGAAGCGTCAAAGGGGGGTGAGGGGAAAGATGAGGTGGCAGAGAGACAGAGAGCAAGAAGGCATTTCAAAACCAGCACTGAGGGCCAAGGTGGGGGTGGAGCAGGTGGCCTGGTCCAGGGCTGCGCTGCGGTAGTCAGGGAAGGGGTCATTCAGACCCTATCCTGTGATGACAGGGGCCCTAAGAACACCAGCCCCTGCCTCCCTGCTTCCTGGCTTCCCTGGGTCCCTGCAGGTGGCCGGCAGGTGAGGATGGTTGTAGATACGGGGCGCCTTGGCTGTGTGAGGGCCCACATAGGCAGCTGCACCCACCCTCCCGGGGTGTTCCCAGCTCTTCCCAGGACCTGCCGTGGTGTTTACGCTGGGCCCTGTTTATTTTGCAAGCTAAGCTCCCACTGCTGGGCTGATAGGCTGAGCACTGGGGTCTGGGAGACTTTCTTCTTCTCTGTTTTTGCCGGAAATGTTCATGGCTCAGAGCCAGACACAGGGGAGCTCTGGTTTCCAGGCCCTGGTTCAGAGGGCATCTGGTGGGAAGGGGCCCCAGCACTCAGTACTCCTTCCACCCCATCCTGTCCCTGAGGCTCGTGCCTACAGACAAAAATGCCCTCCAACCTCCTACTGAACTGGGTGCCCACACACCCTGCCACCTGCCCCTCGTCCCAGAGCACTCCTCCACTGACCAGGCCATTCCCTGAATGCCCTCCCCCACCATTCCTGCTCTCCAGCCCCGAAGGGCACCCTGTGGAGTCCAGGCCCTTTTACTGCCTCTCCACCCCCATCCCTCTCATGGTGTATTAGTTCTTAAGTGCTGGTGAAATCCATTTGCCAATATTCCATTCAGAACTTCTGTGTCAATATTTGCGTGGGAGCTATATACATAACACGACTTCACTCTTAATTCTGTCCTCATCAGGTTTTGATAGCGCTTAGGGGAGCCTCACAGACTAAGTGACTAAGTGAAAAAGTATCGCGTCCCCCCCATCTCCCTCTCCTCCCCCACCTCCACCCCTGCTTTCCTGTACACTAGGATATTTTGTGTAAGACGAGAACTTTTTTTCTCTTCAATGTGTGATAGAACCTACAGTCAAAGCCATCCAGGCCTGCTGTTTTCTTTCTGAGAAAATGCCTCATGTCTGATTCCTTGAGTCTGAACATTAATGGACTATTGGGACTTTTGATTTCTTTTTGTGTCAGTTTCATCTTAGTTTTCAAGTATATTGGTTCTTGTTATTTAATGTCCGTAGTATCAGCATTTCATCCCCTTTTTTTTATCCTCAGTATTGTTTATTTGTGCCTTCACTATTTTCCCTTAATGGTCATGTCTACCAGCCCTTCACCGATTTTCTTCCTATTTCTACCAAACTTTTGACTTTGTTGCTCCTGCCTCTTGTAAGCTGTATTTTGTCTTACTCATGACTCTTTCCTTCCTCCTATATACTTGGCCTTAATATATTGTTCTTCCTTTAAACCTTCTTAAATTGGATAATTATTCACCTTTTTAGACTCTTAAG